ACACCAGGCGAATGCCGGAGCACTACCCGAATAAACGAGCAAGGCACCGCGCGCAATCCCTCCTCCCTCATCGTTGACCTCTGTACTCCTCTTTCAGTTACGCACATACCCATCCACTTGCATACACTATCACGCAAGTCAGGAGCTTTCAGATTGCCCTGTATGAAGTGGTATTTTTATCATAATGTGCATTTTTTTTTTTTTTGCATCTCGAACATGTTTAGACATGAAATCATATTAGGAAGGAAACGTTGCCAAATTGACACAGAAACTTGATGAATAGTTTAATTTTCATAGTCCTAGAATTTGCACGTTTTATAGAATGTTACGTTTTATGTTCGAAAACTAAGCTCAATCTTGAAATATTCCCACTTGAAATGTAACAATTTTAAGAAAAATGTTGCTTTTCTGTTCCAACTTTTCCGCATGGATGATTCAAGTCAGAATTAACTTTCTTTTTATTAATAGACGTTTCGATTTCTAAGTGTGAGGTCCTCTTCAGTGTGTAAGATATCTGTAGCTATTTTAGGTTATGTGAAACCTCACGTACAACTCTGCCCAGAGAAGAATAAGAAAATGCCGCGTTAAACGATAATGAATATACGTAAGGTGTAAACGTCATGTAATGGTTAGTACGGAAATTTGTCTGGGGTGAAAGATCCATCATAAGAGCACCTCCATGTTTTAAACACGACGTCCATATTACAGATGGAAAGTCAGCGAATACCATACTTCCTAGCACCGATTGCGCCGGACGCAGAGGTAATTGAGAGGAGATTATCCTTCTCAGCCGCTCCGGATAGAAGCGACTCCTCCCTGTTCTACCTGCTCCGCTTTAACAGTCAGTTGTTGGTCAATATTAATACAGGAGCCAGCCTGGTCGGGGGCGGGGCCGAGCAGAGTGGAGACGCGGGGCGGGTGGGGGGCGCGCGGGGAGATAGGGAAAAGGGGGCGAATGACGCGTGGCGGGGCGTAGTCGTGGCGGCGGAGAGAGGCGGGGCGTGGCGGGGGCGTGGGTGGCGTGGCGGGCCCGTTGGCGGGGCGTGCGGCAGGGCGTGGCGGGCTGTGCCGGAGGAGTAGATAGGGAAGCAGCGAGCGCAGTAACAAGCAGGGAAATGCTAATCTTGCCTCGAAAGCGCTAGGCGCTTAGGGCGGGCGCGCCCGCCGCAGACGCGGGCTTTTTAATCCGAGCGGGAAGTCGAATCCGACGGCGGCGCGCGCGGCCAGATTTGGACGATCCCCGCGGAACGCAACAGCTCATCCACCGCCGCCACAACAATGATCGCATTGTTTGGAGCGCGCGCCGCTTTCTTTTCACGGTGGCGTTTCGGTCTTAGATCGGTGAGATCTGGAAGGGGAAAATGTATACAGGCTTTGAAAATGGGTTGATGTTAACAAAATACTTGTTACCTGTTTGGTTTAAATTCGCTCGTCGGCAGAACAAGGAACTAAATATTGTGTACGTCAGATCTCTGCGATTCTGGATACCCTCATTTCATGCCCTGTATGCAATTGGTAATGCAACTTGGTGAGAGCAAACAATCATTTTGAAAGCTTTCTCAAGAACGCATATCCCCCCCCCCCCCTCCCCCCCGTAATGTATTTCAATTTCTCTGTATGGATAAAAGGGGTATACGTTAATCTGGGCACGAGAGCAAGGAAGCATGAAGTTATCTTTAAATTTTACAAACTCTCCCATTCATTTGTATGCAAGATATCAATACAAATGTGAAGTTTATCTACGATAAGATGAAGTATTAAACTTTCAATCAAGAGATGCCAGAAGAACAGAAAGATATTCATTTGTTTCTATGCTCGA